CTCCCACTCCCCTGTTGCTAACCCTCCTTGAGATCTTCATTTCTATGTTTCCACTCCTGATCTAGCTGTCCTTTTAGTTTGCTTTCATTTTAGGTGTGGTTCTTAATAACTGTGAGTTTGTTGTCCTTTCACTGTTCATGTTTCTTTAACTTCTTTTTCTTAGATAAGTCCCTTTAACATTTTATATAATAAGGGCTTGGTGATGATGAACTCCTTGAATTTGATCTTATCTGAGAAGCACGTAGGTTCCTGCTTTTTGTGACTTTGAACACTTCTTTTCAGCCCCTTGCCTGCAAGATTTCTTTTGAGAAACCACCTGATAGTCTTATGGGAACTCCTTTGTAGGTAAATGTCTCTTTTTCTCTTGCTGCTTTTAAGATTCTCTCCTTATCTTTAATCTTGGGTAATGTAATTAAGGACACACCATGGTGTGTTTTTCTTGGGTCCAACTTCTTTGGGACTCTCTGAACTTCCTGTACTTCAAGGAAGTCTATTTCTTTTGCCAGGTTGGGGAAGTTCTCCTCTATTATTTTTCAAGTAAGTTTTCAATTTCTTGTTCTTCCTTTCTCCTTCTGGCACCCTTATGATTCAGATGTGGGAACATTTAAAGTTGTCCCAGAGGTTCCTAAGCCTCTCATTTTGATTTTTTTTTAAACTCTTGTTTCTTCATTCTCTTTTGGTTGAATGTTTATTTCTTCCTTCTAGTCCAAATCATAAATCAATTATAAATCAAGTCCTGGTTTCCTTCCCTTCACTGTTGGTTCCCTGTATATTTTCCTTTATTTTACGTTGCATAGCCTTCTCTTTTTCCTCTATTTTGTGACCATACTCAACCATTTTTGTGAGCATCCTGATTACCAGTGTTTTGAATTCTGCATCTGATAGGTTGTCTATCTCCTCATTGCCTAGCTCTTTTTCTGGAGTTTTGATCTGTTCTTTTATTTGGGCCCAGTATCTTTGTCTCAGTGTGCCTGTTATGTGGTAAGGGGCGAAGCCTTAGGTATTCGCTAGAGTGAGCCAACCCACTTTGCTGGTTTGTGGCACTGTATGTGGGGAAGGGGTCAGAGGGGGAACAATTCCACTTGTTCAGCTCTTGGCTGGCCTTCGGTTATGTCCTTTGTCACCTGCAAGCAAATCAGGGCCTTCTGGTCATGATTCTTGGGTGTATGGTTTGTGTAAATTCTAGAACCTTGTGGGTCTCTCCAGTGAACTCTCCTGTGAGGCTGGAAGTTTCTCCCACTGCCACAACCACCACAGGTTTTTACAGCCAGAGTTTTTGGGTCTTTCTTTTCCCACATTCAAACCCTGGATTGCATAGTCTGTCTCGCTCCACAGTTGTTCCTTCTGGTTTATATGCACACAGATGGGGAGCCACTCAGTCTGCCAGCTGCCACCTTGTCTGCGTGAAGCCTTGCCCACCTAGTCCTCCAGCTGCCACCTTGCTGTGAGTCCTCTCTACCCCAGTTGCCCATCTCTGCCCCTCCTACCAGTCCGAATGAATGCTTTTTGTTTAACTCTTTGGTTGTTGGACTTCCATGTAGTTTGATTTTTTTGGAAGTTCTGGTCGTTTTTTGTTTTTAAATTTGCTGTTGATTTCTTTCGGTTGTGCAAGGAGGCAAAGGGTATTTACCTATACCTCCACCTTGACCAGAAGTTTCCATTTTGTTTAGCTCTTTTTCTGGAGTTTTGTTCTATTCTTTCATTTGGGCCATGCTTTGTCTTCTCATTTTGTCAGCCTCCCTGTGTTTGTTTCTGTGTATTAGCTAGAGCTGCTATGTCTCCCAGGCTTGGTTAAGTGGTCTAATATAGGAAGTGTCCTGTAGGGTCCAGTGGCAAAGCCTCTCCTATTACTCATTCTGAGTAGTTGAGCTGTGCCTACTCTGTGGGCTGTGGGCCACCTCCTGTTGTAGTTGTGCTTTGATTGCTGTTGGCACATCCACGATCAGTAACTCTTTGTGTTTTGTCCAGGCTCATGCAGCATAAGCTAGAAAGTGACTTGCAGATGGCTACTACCTGTGCTGGGCTTGAAGGTGGGCAGGTGAAGCTAAGCTGTTAAACAAGTCTAGTTATGGCTAGTGTCAGGCCTTATGGCTAGCATCTTAATGAGAGGTATAAGAGGTACAGGGCTCATTGAAGCACAATGCTGCTTTTGAGATAATTTAGGACAATCTGAAGCATGGGCCAAGATATGCCATTCATATAGAAAATCCAGTGGAAACAGCTTGGGTTAACCAACAAGTGAGGTGGGTAGAGCCTCGGGGAATCACCAAGGTAGGACAGACAGTGTGAACAAGATTGATGAAATCTCATATATGGCAACTGCTTGCCCACTCTGTGACTCTGTGCAGGGAGGACTCAGAAAAGGAACAGTGACCTCTACTAGCACTTCTGTCTGGGAGAAAGCTGTACCCCAGCACTCACCCTGGTGCCAGACAATTCAGTTCCACCCTTTGTGTCTCTGATTCCTTTCAATCTGCTGCCTCCATGCTCTAGTTCAGAGGGAGTGAGTGTGGATAACTTTGTGCATGCACCCTTTAAGAGGATCTTCCAGGGAGTCTAGTAGTTTCTTTATTCCACAGCCTAAATCCCTGCTGGGTTTTAGAATCAGGAGTGTGGACACTTCCCTTCCTGGAACTGGAACTCTTGGCTGGGGGTCCTGGTATGTATCTTGGACCCTTTGCTCCTGAGATATCCCTCCCTATTTTTATCTGCCACAAGTGGGTGAAGGACCAGCCTATTCTGTGTCTCTGCCTCACTACCAGGCATGATGTAGTTTCTTTAATTCTTTAGTTGTAGGACTTCCATTCAGCTGTTTCTGGTGGTTCTGAATGATGGTTGTTCTATAGTTTAGTTGTAATTTCATGTAGTTGTGCGAGGAGGCAAAGTATGTTAACTCATGCTGCCATCTTGACTGGAAGTGGACCCCACATTTACAATTGATAAAGTGTACTGATGTTGAAAGGAGTTGAACACCGAATCATTTTTCTGTTGGTGCTGATGTTTAATTTCTAACTATTATAGAAATATAATTTGCACCAAGGACAGTGACAGTGAAGAAAAGTATGTGGGCTGAATCTCATGCACTAGCCAAATTGAGTTTTAGAGCTGCTATTCTGTCCTGTGAATTATAAGCAATTGTAACAGGTGGTCAGATCAGATAGCTGGGAACTGGTGAGATCCCAATCTGGAAGAAACCCTGACTTGCCAGAGCCAGCACCACCCCCACAAAAAGTTGGGGAGAAATGCTGTGGCAGCAGATTGAAATAGCCGCAGCAGGACCTGCTGCCTGAGGCAACAGTGAACAGTCAGTGTGTGTCCCCAGAAGCTGAGCAGCTCATGACCCAGCCAGAGGGAGCTTGTGCTGAGGTTCCATGGGGCTGAAAAGGTCAAAACACAAATGTATGGTGGAGGTTAGCAAGCTGCAGCAGGGGCCGGGTGTCCTGCCCTGGGCTGATACCTGGTGCTTTACGTGTGACTGGAAACTTTGTCACATTATGCAAAATGGTGGTCTGAAGAAGAGCTAAGACAACTGGGACAAACATAGCCAACCTTGGCCCACATGGTTAAAAAGGTGGACATTCCCACAGCACATGGGATTTTGGGAATGGACTTTAAAACAGAATGCGTGCAGAAGCCTCTTTCTTTTTTGCCTCTCACCCCAAGTCGGGGAACACTCATGGAACCAGCAGACACCAGACCCACTCAGGGCTTAGGCCTCACATGGATGGGAGCCAGCTTGCAGAGGTAGTGTCTTGCTGGGACATGCCTTGATGGATGCCAGCCCTTGGGACGCTATGACCCTGTACAGGCACATGGGCCTGGACTGTTTCAGCGCATGGAGGTTGAGAACAGCACATGGAGGCATTAGCTGGGAATACTCCTCAACCCCAGAGTGCAGACAACCTTGGGCACGGGAGCCCCATTAATGGAGCTTCTCCTACACGGCAATCTAGAGTGATCTGTCAGTGTACCTCAGGCTCCAGGAGAAAGGGGAAGCTGCATGAGATGATGGTGACTCTGGAACTCAATATGCACACGAGAGAGAGAGAGAGAGAGAGCCTGAGGTTGGAGACCCATTCGTGTAGCTGCCATGAGCTCCAAAATGACAATATGGGGCTAAGTGTCTGGAGACTGCTCCGGTCCTGAGGGTGACTGGTTTTCTGTGCTTTGCAGATGAGGTTGGCTCAAAGGTAGAAAGCCCCAGCCCCTTCAAACTGGGAACCCTGTTAATAAGAACTTCTTTTCTTCCCCACAAACTTCTGTGTTATGCTTGTACACGGTGGCAAGCAGCTGGACCCCAGGCTGCCCAGTTGACCAGCTGTGAAGAAAGAGTCAAACCTTCTCCTGCTATCTTTTCTTTCCTCCCAGGAAGACCAGGAAGAACCAGCTACTCATCAGATTTTCTCTTCAATTTTTACTTTCTTGCCTTTTCAGTTTTTATCTTTCATTAGCTTATATAACTTTTATATTAAGAGTCTCAAAAAAATAAGAATTTGCTTCAAAAGCTAGTTATGGAAAAACTGTCTCTAAATCTGGATAGGAGTCTGGATGCTTTAAAAAGCTGTGGTGGTAATCATAAAATCTGGACAAAGAAGTTTCATTATAGGGGGGTTAGAAGATTCTCATGTTGCAAGCTTTCAGTCAGACCACTGAAGGGGGCTCGCAGCAAGGATGTTTCAGAAAGCAGACAAGAAATTTAACATAACATATCTGTACAAACTGTTTTTTTAAGTGGAGCTATATTAGTATGAGCAGTATAAACTGCAAGACTCAAATCAGTGGTATAAGTACATTGTAAAACATGCATGAAAATAGTGACTTGGATAGAAATCTGTCAATGCTACAAAAATACATATAAACAAAAAAACTTCTTCCTTTGACAAATCTACAAGCTATAAAATTAAGAGTGCTTAGATAATTTTATACTACATAAGTAAAAAATACCAAGCTAGAATAATCTTGTTCCAAAGTTTAGAATATAATTCTGTCAAGTAAAAATATTCTTCATACAATGTATGAATTTATCAATAACTTTCTGGGTATCAAGTTGTTCTTTATGTAGCAGTCCAATGAGAATCCCTCTGAATTATATATTGATTAGAATTTCGTCTCAACTGATACCTGGAAGAAGACAAGGAGTTCTTGTTTAAAAAAAAAAACAAACAACCTGTTGAGTTTTATCCCTTTCAATAATCATATCTTATATTTAAAATATGGTTAATCTGATTAAAATTAGGAGCTAGTATTTGAGTTATCAACAATTTTTATCTTGAATTTTAATAATGAAATACCTTTCATTTCAACTTGGTTAACATAAAATCATGGATACCAGGTTGTAATATAAGTATCTTTTGAAGGCCCAATTTAACTTACAGTAACAATACAACTTTTTGTAGCAATCTACTTCTTCACATTTGTTTCACAGGGCACTCAGCTCCTAGGGGCTATGTGTGTCGGCCAGGAACTCTCACCTCTTACATAAATCACCACTGGTGGCCTATCCATGACTGCTGATTTATCTTCCTCTAAGTAATGCAAGGGGCTGGAGTTAAATGTTTCTCTTTTTAAATGCAGAGGAACATATATAAAATGCTGCTGATTATATTCTGTTAGTTGGTTCTTAAGCTTTGATCAGCCATCAGGTTTAAATTCTGTTGCTAAACTTTACCCTCTAAAACTTGGTGTTAACTCTGAATCTAGCTGCTGGACAGAGGGTTGCAGATGAGGCTCTCTGTACTCCGAGCGAGGGAGAGGGGTGGGCTCAGGCAAGGTGCTAGATTTGGTTTTCTTCTGGAATCTGCCTTGGGAGACAGTCATGGTGCTCTTCTCGGTTCTCCTCTTACCTTAGGCCTACATGACTTTCTGGAATAGCTTTTTTTTATATACCTTTTTCTGTTTAATATAACTCTTAACACTTCTTTATTTCTAATCTAAATTCTTCTTGCTCTATTTCTTAGACCTTTCTTCCTGGTATACTTTGAAGACAATCATTAGATTCTTTCTCAAGACCCTCACTTCCATTAGTCTTTCAACAAAGGGTAGAGCTGGTATAGTAATAGTGAAGAAAGCACAGGTCCTGGCATCAAATCCTGTTGCTGTCACTGTGGTGTGTGATCTTAAGCAAATTGGTTAAGTTCTCTGAGCCCCCCTAATTTTCTCATTTGTGAAATGAAGATATCATCTTCGAATATCATTGTAAGGATTGAGATAATGAATGTAATGCACCTACCATGTATCCGGCCTACAGCATTTTGTGTTTCTGCTTTTCCCAAACTATAGACATTTCCTTAAAGGAGATAATACTCTAAAGATGAATGTTTTAGAATGAAATGGGTCTATCCAGTTAAGTGATGACTTGGCAACTCTTTCTGGTAAGGAAGAAAAGGAACTTAACTTTCATTGCTGGGCTAGGCACTGTACTAGGGACTTACCACATACCTAGGAGTCAGGAAGTGTGTATTAGCTTCTCAGCTCCATCACTTATTTATTTATAAATGGAAAGAGCAGTACTTTCCCTATCTCGTGGATTATTACGGGACCAGAATAAGATTTTGGTTGTAAGTACTTTGAAAATGTAAAAAGTTTTCTCTATATATACTCAATCTTGCATTAACAGAGATCTCGTATCACTATTTTCCATCCTGTTTCTCCTGGTCTGAGTTGTTTCACTCCAAGTTCCTATGGGACTGGCATTGCTTCAGTTTTCTAGGGATGAAGCACAGATCCTCAAACTAGTTCCATGTTATGTTGTTGTTACATCTAGTAAATATAAAACTGCCAAAGAATCAACCGCTTACCCTACATTCTCGATTACGTAATCCTCCATTTGTATGTATGGTGAAATCAAATTTTCTATCATTTTCCTGAAAAAAGAAAACAAAATGGAATTATGGGTTAGGAACAATATTTTTAAATATTGAAAAACAAAAGGAAATTTAAGAAGCAAAGATAATTAGTTGTACAAATATGAAGGTCACCAAAGAGCTGGTACCTGACTGGAATTAAACTTTGAAGTACTGTAATCCTTTTTCATCAAAATATGTAAAACAGCATCATGGATTGTTAGGAAAAATATTGAGTCCTTGACTTCATCATCAAAAAATTGACAGCGTGCAAGCTTCTCAATGAAATCATCTGAAGAGAGAAAAAAAGAATAATTGTTAGGAAGAAGTAATTATTTGGCCATAGGTTTCTCCTTGAGGCTGGGGATTCTAATTTTCGTTTGCAAATGTACAGAACATATGCTCATGGACCAGTGCTATGTGGCAGTTCTGGGTTGCCAGACCAGTTACTTATCAGGTACTTACTGTAGTCCATTTCCTCAAAGCTGCTGGGTTTCATCAGAAAACATCTTTTCTGGGCACCCCACATTACCTCTCCAATCACCTCTGAGGAATCTCATTCTTGTAGGCATTAACCAGCACTTGTTTGCACAGATCACTCACCCAAATATTACCTCAAAGCCCTGGATAGGTAATATGAAGGATCAGAAGATAAATTACACATGAATCTTGCCCTCAATGATATAAGAACATTTATGTATACCAATAATAATGAAAGAAAAGGTACTATAGAATAATAAAGGCAGAAAGAATCTGACTTTTTCTTTACTGTTTTCTTAGTTTTTAAAATAATTACCAGCACATAGTAGGTCCTCATATTTTTGTTGAATGAATAAGAGGGGTACAGATGATGTATTATGGAAATTCAGAGGAAGTAGGGATAAGATTGTTTCCTCTTGCCCTAACCAGTGTGGATCAGTTAGTTGGGCACCATCCTGCAAAGAGTATGGCTGCTAGTTCAACTCCTGGGTAGGGCACATGCTTGGGTTGCAGGTTTGGTCCCCCATCAGGGCACATATGAGAGGCAACCAATTGATGTTTCTCACATCAGTGTTTCTCTCCCTCTCTCCCTTTCTTGCCCTCTTTCTAAAAAAAAAAAAACTATTAAAAACATTTTTTCCTTGGTGGGTATTTATCTGGGAAAACTTGACTAACCAGATATCAAGAAAGATGGAGGGACAGTGAATATTTTTGTTAAAAACTGAGAGGGATGCCAGGCAGCAGAAGCAGAAGAAAGAGATACTTTCAAAAAGATCTGAGATGATGGAGAAGGAGTAAAATTATTTAATAGATTAAATGGTTACTGAGCTCAAGAGAACTAGGCTATATCTGTGGATTTTAGGGATAGGATCTTGTACAGAGGCAAAACTGAAGGTGCCAGTTTCATGCCTCCTTCTGGACCTGTGATTTCCCACAAGATACTGTCAAGGTTACTCCCTCACCTCATTCCAGACTCTGGTCAAATGTCATGTCATTGGACACATTTGATCACCTGTCTAAAATAGGATCATCTGTGCTACTCTGTCTCTTAACCAGTTTTTTCTTCACTGAACCTATTACCTGAAATATGTTTTAATTTACTTATTATCTTGCTTTCCCTCTAGACTGTAAGATTCATAAGGGCAGGGGCTTGTCTTATTTACAGCTGTATCCCAGCACCTAGAACCTGCCCTGGAAGAGTGTCACCTAGTGGGAACACAAGCACAGAGCGGCATAACATTGGGATATGTGTGTTCCACAGATGCAAACAGTCTGAAGACCACAGCACTCTGTCTGGGGAAGCAAGGAAGTTCTCACAGTTATTAAAGGATACATTCTAGAGGGAGTTTTCTAGTCAGAAAATGGAATAGTGTGTTTAGAGACAAGGACACTAGTTAGATACTTGTTCCCCAGGGCCTAGATGAAAAATGATACAAAGATCTGGATTAAGGTGTGGAAATGGAGAGGAAGACACTGATTAAAGAGGCAATATGCACAGGTGACTCACTGGATGTAGAGGGAAGGGAAGAAGAAGAAATTAAAGATGGGTCTGGAGCTTCTACTTTAGGCAACTGAGTAAGTAAGTGGTGGTGGAGTGACTGGGGCAGGAAAGGAGAAGGAGTGGTTTTTGGAGGGAGGGTAATATATTTAGTTTTGAACATGTATACCTGAGGTGACTAGTGTACATCCAAACAATTGAATACATGGATCTGCACCTCAGAAGGAAGGTCTGGGCTGAAGGTATAGTTTGGGAATTCATTAATAAGATGTACTTGTAGTCACAAGCATGCAGAAGATCGACTAGAAAGAGTTCATGGTATTAGGAGTATTGGACAGGTATGTGCAAAAAACTGAAACTACACCATTAACTTACAACACTCAAGAATAAACTGAAAATGAATTAATGACTGGTGGAAGGGATGAAGACATGAAATGGGTTGGTCCTAAACCTATCTGGGGTAGATAAAAATTGGGGAAGGATATCTCAGGAGTGAGGAGTCCTAGCCCCACACGAGGCTCCCTAGCCCAGGGTTCTAGTGACAGGAAGATAAGTCCCCATAAGTTCTGGCCTCAAAAACCAGCAGGGATTGAGTTGGTGGAAGAAACTTCTGGGGTCCCAAGCAGTTTCCCTTCAAGAACCAACACATGGACTTGGATTCACTCCCTCTGAGCTCCAGCACTGGGGTAGCAGCTTAAAAGGCACCAGTGGCATACTGGGAGGGACTGATGTGTCTGGCATCAAGGCGGGAGCTGGGGGACAGCTTTCTCCCAGACAGGAAGGTGGGAAGAGGCCATTTGTTCCTTTTTTGGGCCCTCCTTCCACAGAGCCACAGAGCCAGCAGCCGAATGTCATTTCTTAAGACTGTCAACCTGGCTAACAATATTTGCCCTGTCCTGGAGATCCCCGAGACTCCTTCCCACCCAACTTATGGGCCCACCCAAACTGTTAACCATGACTTTTCCATATGAATAGCTGGTCTTGGCTCATGCTTCACAACTTCTTAAATCCTCTCAAATAAGCAACAGCAACAGCCAGTTTGAGTGAGACCCCCAGCCCCTATGCCTCTTGCTTAATAGCCCCAGTCATGGCACTAGCACCAGCCAGCCTAGATTCATAGCTTGGCTTCACTTGGGAATCTCTAAGCCCAGCACAAGTAGCAGCCATCTCAGATTGATTTATAGGGTACCCTCAGGCAGAACATGAGTGGGGGTTGAACTTGGCCTGTACCACCAAGGAAAACCCAGAGCCTGCATTCCCAGTGGACAGCTACAGACCACACTGGAGCACCACCAGCCTGCCCCTGCACAGCTTATCCTCCACAGAGAGCACAGGTGGGCAATCTGTAGTTATGGCCAGTCTTTGTTGCTGACTAGCCTGGGTAAATCCCTCCCATTGACCTGCCACAGCTATCAAAGCTCAACAAGAGGAGGGAGTATTCAGCCTACATGAAGATAGCGCCTTGATCAAGTACCAGGTTGGGTGATAGGGGAGGCTGTACCTCTAGACCCCATAGGACACCTACATCATTAGGCCACACTACTAAGACAGGGCAGCTCTGCCTAATACACAGAAACAAACACAGGGAGGCTGTCAGAACAAGGAGACAAAGAAACATGGCCCAAGTGAAAGGACAGATCATAGCTCCAGAAAGAGAACTAAGTGAAATGGAGATAAGCAATCTATCAGATGCAGAGTTCAAAACACAGGTTATAAGGATGCTCAAGGAACTTAGTGAGGACCTCAACTGCATCAGAGAGATCCATTCAGAAATGAAGGATAAACTAATTGAAATGAAGAACAATTTACAGGGAAACAACAGTAGAGAGGAAAGCTGAGAATCAAATCGATGATTTGGAACATAAGGGGAAAAACAATCAGAACAATAAGAAGAAAAAAGTCCAAAACAATGAAGATAGTGTAAACGTCCTCTGGGACAACTTCAAGCAGTCCAACAATCTCATCATAGGGGTGCCCAAAAGAGAAGAGAAAGAGAAAGAAATTGGAAATGTATCTGAAAAAAATAGTGAAAGAAAACTTCCCTAATTTGGTGAAGGAAATAGACATGAAAGTCCACTAAGCACAGAGAGTCATCCAGTGTTGGACACTGAGTTGCTATGAGGGTGATGGGGTTGAATCAGAAGAATGGTCTTGCAGAAGTTACAGAGACAGAGGTTCGAAGACAAATGCAAAAGAAAGGGCCAAATGCTAAAGTAAGAATGAGACTGGAATGGAGATAGTTGATCTTGATAATCCAGACATTACTGATGATGTCATCAGCAAGGTGAAGCAGAAGGTACTAAGGGAGGCAAGGAAGAGAGAAAACAAGCCTACTTCTTCAGGAAGATTAGAGTGAAAAATAGTTACATATTCACTTTTTTTTGCTGCCTATTAAGCTAGGATTCAACTTGTAAAGTTAATTTAATTACATATCAACACAACTAAAATGTAAAGATGCTATTTCCAGAAGGATTTTTGTAGCCTCAACTACAGATTAGATTTCCTTCTTGGTGATCATAACAAAAATATAGCTGTTCTTAAGCTGTCTAGATTGAGAGTTGGCAATGAACCTGAAATGATTGTCAGAATATAAAAATAAAACAACTTACCATCAGTTCCAACAATATATACATCTACCTTGATCCTGATAAATTCTTGCAAAATCTGTTAAAAAAGAAAGTAGATCTTCCTTGAGCAACAGTTTCACTTGTCAGAAATGTGAAGAAAACTGTTGTAATTTTGCCTTATGGGTGACATATTGCTTTTAGAACCTGTTACACTTGGAAACGAGACAACAGTATAAAGAGACATGGAAGTTAAAAACAAGGCTCTGTGACAGAAAGAAATAAATCCAAAGGAAGAGCACTCCTCATAAGGACAAGGTTAAAAGTGACCATTCTGGCAGTATGATGGGAAAATGCTCTGCCTTAATTCGCAAATAAACTCTGATTTAATTTTGAATTTAGGGAGAAACAAAGGAGTCTTTTCAATACACCATGATGCTGACCTCATTATCCTAAAACTTTTTTTTTCCTGTGAATTGATCTTGACTAAAACTTTCTACATAATAAACATAAGAAAATCCTAGGACCCTTAAGTTGTTTGTTATTCCTGCCCACAGTGACTGGATGTTTCTAGCACCAACAAATCTTTATCCAATTGCTTGGTTTCTAGGCTAAGAACAAATACCAGTAGTGATATTTTTAAGGTCATATAAGGTGAGAAAAGTAGCTTATACTGTTGATCTACAAGACAGCTAAAAATTTGGGCTTTAAAGAAATGTTGGCAGAGTTCCTGTCCCTTGTGCTATCCTGCTAGGATAAAAAATAAATATTGTGTGTGTGTGTATTTTTTTCTTCTAAGCTGACACAAATTGAAAATACAAAAATAAATAAAGAAAAGCCAAGCAGGCTTGAGAGTTACGTGATGTTAAGATTATTTTAGAGAAGTTTGAACAAAAAGAAATTAATCTTATTATCTAGTTTTTAATCTAGTTCACTCATACTTAATAGATCTTAGCTCAGCTCAGTTCTTATGTAGGTAGATTTCTGTGAAAAAACAAGCAAAAGAGGGAAAATGTGGAATTTCTTGAATTTTTTATATCTATTTTTGTATCTTTGTTAGAAATTTCTTTATTTTAGAAATACTGACAAAACTGTGTAAATAAAACAGACTGCAACCTAGTGGTTTCAATCCTGCTTTTAAATGACACATGACAATTATTCTTTCACATATCTCCTTAAAAAAACAAATCTGATTGCTATTTAGCCAAGTGAATTTTCGTCAGCTTATAATGAACAGAGATAAAAACAAAAGGAACCTCTACTTCACTTTTCCCCAAGACCTTTCAAGTCTGTGTTTCAGGACAATTTAGATACAGTGTCCTTAAGGATATAAAGGTGCCACAGGATTGGAATTTAAAAGGCATGTGAGCAGAGTTGTCTACTAGCAGGTTCAACGTACTCTAAGAAGGTGGGTTTGGTAGCCTACAAAACTTTTATGCCAGTCTCATGGGAAATGCACTTTTAAAAGGTTAACAGGACATGCCCCACCTGTCCTCCACTCCAGGGAGCATTCCAAGATTATTATCAACTTCTACTTTAGTGTGTATTGTCTAAAAGAGCATCCTTCCACCAATACAAGTTTTCACTTTTAGTCATTGATTGGTTGTTTCCATTAAGAAAAAAAGAAATTACCGTTTTGAGACCCCTCATTGAAGAAACATCAAGAAACGACACTGCTGAAAAATCAAGAATAAGGCTATGCAGTTCAATTTTAGGAACCACAATGTTGAGAGGAAGATTAGCATTCCAGTCTATTTGGAAGGGCAGGTCTGTGGTGTTGATTGGCTGATTCAGTTCTTCTATCTGATTGTTGTCCAGCTCTTCATCAGAATCTTTCAAGCCATCATCAATGGTGCATATAAATCCTTTCTGCAAGAGAGAACAGTAATATACATGATAATTCCAACCAAGAAATACATGCTGTGTGTCAAAGGTAACCAGTGACTTTCTGAAGCACAGGTTCAAAATTGGGTCAAGCAAATGAGGCTGTAACTCTTTTCTTTGGAGAATAAAAATTGTCCCAGGAGAATACAATTTAAGGAGAACCTCAAAGATGCCATTTAAAAATACCACATTAATTGACACATGAAATACCTTGCTTATCTGGCATTTTATTTGAAACAATAGAACCAACATCTTGACCTTCATTTTGCTGAGTTTTTAGCATAATACACAGAAATGTGGTCAAGAAACTTACTGGTGTCACTTGTAGCAGGCCTTTCTTCTGCAGTTTTCGGATCTTTTTCATAGCTTTGTTGCGCTTCCGTAGAATTCGAAGTGGACTAAAGCCAACCTGAAAATCCCATTGTTGTGTTACAAGAGTACTGAAAATTCTGCTACTTATATAGCATAATTCCAATATCCTTCAGTGGGATGGGTTGAGAGATTGAGACACATAATAAAGAGAATTATCATAAAATGTAAGTGATTCAAACAACATCAGTGAGAGCATTGTGTCAGAACTATGGTGTGCTCAGCCTCCATGCAATTATTAATATTTAAAAACCTCTGTGCCATCCAGCATTTATCCACAAATTACCCTAAATGGGTCTAAACTCTAATTTGAATCTGTTTGTGGTTTTGGCTTACACAACTCTCAAGGGATTCTGTTGTATTTATTTTCTGTTTATTGAATATGGGTGGCATCTAATTAGCATTCTGCTTCTAAATAATTTTATTCTATTAAGATGTATTTGATTTTTATTGTGGCAATACATAGCTCCAGAGTAAGGCCTTGGTTTGGTAGCTCAGCTTGTTGGAGCATTGTCCTGACACACGAAAGTTGCAGGTTTGATCTCTGATTAGGGCATATATGGTTTTCTCTCTCTTCCTCTCTCCTGTCCTCTTTCTCTAAAATCAGTCAATAAATAAACATTAAAAAAAAACAATAAAATGACAACAAACTTACAATGATCAACAACAGAACCTAAAAAAAACAAAACAAAACAAAACAAAACTAGGAACAGAATCACAGATATGGAGATCACATGGAGGGTTATCAGCAGGGAGGGAGAGATGGGGGAATAAGGGGAAAGGTACAGGGAGTAAGAAGCATAACAGGTAAAAAATGGACAGGGGGCAGTTAAGAATAGTACATGACATGGAGAAGCCAAAGAACTTACATGTACAACCCATGGACATGAACTAGGGGAGGGGAATGTGGTGGGAGGGGGGAAACGGGGCAGGGGGTAGTAAAGGGGAGAAAAAAATGGGACAACTGTAATAGTATAATCAATAAAATATATTTTAAAAAAGAAACAAATGTTTAGAAATTGTGTAATAAAAAAGGCCCTTACTAAAAAATGTGGTCAGTTGGAAAGATAGTAAATTAAGTGAAAAGAACAGTACATGAAATCTTATACACAATATGATCAGTTATTGTAAAAAAATGGGTAGAAAAATATTTGATGCATACCAAACTAATAATAATAGGGCTGAGCCAGACATTCTATGTAAAGTAGAGAGGAGACCAAAAGGCAGGTTCAGGAGTAAGTGCTGAGTTTTTGTTTTTGAATCTTAAAGACTGCTTCTTTGTCATATTCTCTCCAGGTCACCAGGGACACTCAGTTGTTATTTTGTGTTAAATATTCATTTATATTATATTTATTAATTTCATTTGTATTATAAATATTTGTCTGCTATTCTAAATCTCTTCAATGTACAGTCAAAATTACACATTACTCTCTTGCTGTTTCTGAAATTGATTCCTCAAGAAAATCTGTAGGATAATACTTATTACAAACATGTGGCCCCATAGGTAGAGAGCAGGCTGACAGCTTGGCAGGGGTGCGGGGGACTGGGGGGAGGCTTTCATGGAAAACCTATAAGGTAGGTTTTCACCTGCTCTGGGACATGGGATACAAGAACTCTAACACAATTTCAATATATGTGAAGTCAATGACCCCCTCTTATTATAAAACAAACATTTAATTTCTAGATATTTGGTGGAATTACAAAAACAATTAATAATCCCTAAACTTACAGCATCAATAAGTTTCTGCTTAAAGAAATTAATGTTTGCAAAGTAAATAGGAGATGGGCATCTGAAAATTTTCACTCCTTCCAGTTCATACATCTGTAAGGCAGAAAAGTAATATTAGACGGTGCCCAGTAGACTCATATTAATATCATTCAGCAAATCAAAATAAAAAGTAAATATTCCTTACATCAGAGTAATCTTTTTTATTCTTGTAGATGTTGCTCCTTCCAACATTAGCCAACGTGCTGCATTTTGGACTGTAGGGAAAATCATTACCACATGAACCTTTCATACACATTTGGGAGGCCTATAAGGCTGTCATTGATGTTTCACTAGCATACCAAAGCAGGCTCATTTTCAAAATGTAAGAGATTCATCATGAGACCCTGGAGGGCAAACACTTTGTTTTACTTATTCTACAGCTCCTAAGACAGTGCCTCCCATCTACCATATTGTGGTTTACAAAGAGGTTCTATATGCCTTTGCCATTTAGATTCTGAATATCACAGTTATCTGGTGACATAAGGCAGATATAATGACCCAGTTGTATAGATGTGGACATGCAGAAGTATGATCATTTGACTAAGACAACCCAGTCTGTCTCTATGTTTGATGAGTCTCCAAGAAATGAATGAAAATATAAACAAATAAATGAATGCAGGAACATTGCAATATAAATGTATTCTGTCAGTCAAGGATTAACTTTAACTATGATACTACTATGATCTGAAACTCCTTAGCTCTTAAAAACCCTTATTTCTCTGTCACACATGTAATCCTCCTTAGGCTGAGTGCTCACGTGGTAGTAACATTACACAGCAGAGATTTAAGAATCAGAGAGATGTTTGCACTGGGTGACTGCTAAGAAGCAATCATTCTAAGTGGTTTTTGTGGAATTCTAGGATGGGAGGGGCCTTTCAGAAATTCTCTTAATTCAGCTCCATGTTTTTCAGGTGGGAGTACAATCTAGCAACCTATAAAGAAGAACAACCCTCCACTAGACATGGAGAATATTACAATCTTCTCAGTCACACGTCCCCATGTTTAAAAAATCTAAGGCAAAGAGATTTGTATTATTTCTTTGAATTGGAGAGCAAGCAGGGAGCAGACCAACAGCTGGAGGGCCCTGGGCTGATGCTGTAAGTTCACACTGTTCTGTTGCCCTTCGGGGGTGAGCAACCTGGGGAAGAACAGACCGGCCAATCGTGATTGATTTGCATGCCTATCAGCTAAACTACTTTCCCCTTGACCAGTGACAAGTTCTTTTTCCTTGGCACTGACAGGTTCAAGTCTACGAGGATACAGAGTGTGACAGTCACTCACAATTGGGTCCTGAACACGATGGTCAGGAGCTGAAATGCCACGCTAGCAGCCAGGCCTAAAGCAAGTCCCAGGACAATGACAAAGATGAAGGTCACGATCCAAATCAGCTGCAAAAAGAAGGCATATTGTAGGCAAAAAGGAGTCAATTGTAGTCAACAGTACAATTGGCTCTGATTCAAGTACAATGTCTTAGGTCCATTGGTATGAGAAAGCATAAACTTCTAGGGACAACAGCAGAGGTTGGAAGTGTACAAAAGAAGCAACCTGCCTCCAGAGGTCATTTCTGCTGGCTCAGGTTCTGAACCACAGAAACACAAGCAGATATTTAAAAAATCCAAACAGAGAATGCATCTATTGCTAATCCCATCCCTGAACGAGTTAAGTAAATGATTGAGTCTATCTATCACAGCTAAAATTTCAGAACCAGCTGTTGTTCCTTAGAATTAGCAAATTAGTTGGTATATAATGTACTAATCTCTTACTTTTGGTCTGCTGATTTCCTTAATGGCTATGATTGCTATAAGAATCTTAGTATGCCAAAGGGCTGTGAATATTTCCAACAATTATCTAGCAGTAACAAAAAGTAAACCAATTGTAGTTTATTACTTAATGCTTGTAAAGGACCACAGGATGCATTAAGCACTTTTATGCCACAGACTTTGACCCGATATAATTATGGTCTCTGCTTCTTACAGTAAGGCATGCTTAGAGCAAGGGGAGCCTTTATAGAGTATTTCCAAAAGTAATGTTCAGAGTTTAAGTTTTTCACAGGTTCTCTGGTAACTAACATAGAATGTAATGAAGAACAATGTAATCAATGTAATGAAGAACAGTGTAACAGTATAATGTAATCAACGTATACCCTGAACTTCAGAGTTTCTGTGCATTTGAGATGACAGAGAATTTTTAAAACAGATCTAAGGAAGTTGTCCACTAGTGTTTCCTGGAGCATCTCCTACTTGCCAGAAGCTCACCCTTTTCTCTTAAAATCTCAGAGAATGATTATGAGAGTATGAAGTTTAAAGATAGTAAATAAAACAAACCAAGGCCATCTTAACAGCTATATAGAAACAAAATTTCTCTTAGTGTACAATATAAATATGCATTTTACATCAGCACTAAATACTATCCTGATTTCTTTCTCAAATAATGTTGCCTCTGCTTACACAATCATACTTATCCTTTTGCCACAATCTTCGTATTTCCGTGAACTGCATCAGCATTCCCTTTAAGTTTCCAAGAGCTAAAGCTGCCAGGACAGACTGTGAAAAACATAAATTGCAGATGTACTTTCAGATAACCAATAAACCATACAGAAGCAAAGGTGAAAGTTATAGATAAGTGAATCCTTTAAAGGGCCTCAAAGCAAAGGGTACACCCTTCTCTTGTGTGCAATACCATGCAAGACACACCAGACCTTTCTTGCCACAGTGACGGTGACATGCCGTGGATGGTAGGAGATGATCTGACAGCACATGGTAGTAGCCTGTACCTTGGGCCAGTGAAAGACAGATCTTAAGATCTATTACAGAAATAAATTCTAAACAGAGATAGTCTTTATTGGAAGTGAGGGAGGGGGTTCTTTGTTTTAAAAAGTTTGGGGAGCTTGGGGTACTGGAATAAGAATTCAAAACTTTGATGATACACAGCAATCATGCCATTTTGAAAGAGGAAGCTGAAGATCATAGAGAGGTTAACAAAGATTTGAGACAGACTTTCTGGGACAGTGTGAACCATACCTGGCATGTTCCCGGCTATATCCCTAGAACTGACCGTGGTAAATAAATACAGGAGGGGCTTAATAATTATTCAATGAATGAGTGAATTATTATTTTCCAAACTAGTGCTACTTATCCAGTAACACAGCCTCTTTTACAAAGCCCTGTCGTAGATTGCACTGCAGAGCAGATTCACTACGAGACCTGGGTAGGGAGCTCTTCAGGAGCTCAGCAGCACTTCAGGCTCCTGGTTCCAGCAACGCCCAATGCCATCACGTGCCTCACAGGAATGAAGACAGTTAAGGTGGGGAAGGCTGACTAGCCAAATAAGCTCTCTTTCTCATTGGATTTTAACAGAATGGTAGAGACATGCCCCTAGTCCTCACCTTCAATTCAGGCTGTTCCATTCTGAATGGACTATAAAATTTGTATGTGGATTACTTTCACACCATAAAAGCACAGTGTACAAGAAAAAGCCAAACAAGTTTTTATTTTCATATCTCAAAGATCATTGAATTGATCTGAACACTTGATTTTCACAGGTAACATTTACAATTTAATATCTAACCAGTTATTTTATTCACTGTGAGAACATAGGTCATTGTTTAGAAGGCTAAATATAGTTTTAAGTAACTTTAAAAAGGAAATTGCACGCAAATAAATGCCAGTTCAAAATGGTGAAAAATGAAAAAAGTCTGTCATTTGGTTAACAGCACTATCTCAATGTCAAAGTACTGGTTTTGATGTTGTGCTATAGCTGTATGAGATGTCAGTGCCATGGTGCCTGGGAGGGCTCCAGAAGACTCTCTACAATACGCCTCCTGGGTTGGGGTAACTTTAGGATAAGCATGTCCAGTGCTATCTGCACAAGAGACATAGTTTTCTTTCCATTAGGCATTATTTCTCACCTGGTCAGTATTCCACAGAAAAACAATTTAAAGAACCCTTAAAAAATAAAGATTGCAGAGCATTGAGAAGCAATAGAAAGGAATTTCACCTGGTATCTACATTGTAATTGACATAAAGGGTTACATAAATGTAAAATGCTTAGGACTCTGCTAATGCTTACTTAGTAAGCACCCAAGAAACATTTGTTAACTAGCTATCACTATGGGTTATTTTGCCCTCCTGTGATAAAAAGAAGCAAAAACAGTTACTCGAGTGAAACAAGAACATTACAGACACAGTAATCTGAAAAGAACTTGTCATGTGAATCCTTTATAGAAGGAGTTTTGATTAACAACCTGGACAATGTCCTTGGTTATTGTTTATTCACAAGAGGGATGGAATTTTATATGGCAGTTGTTTCCTTAATTCTCCAAGTTGATGTGGGTGAGGGAGAGCCCAAGTGCACACCTGGGAGAAGCACAAGAGGGAAGAATCCTCTATGTAGGGAAGCTGTGTGGGCATTTACTTGTGTGGACATATACATTCTTATATTTCTTTGGGGTTGGCTTATTGACTCCTTTTATGCCATTCCTTTGGAAATCAGAAGGTAAGTGTATGGAGAACACATATTTTTGGCAAACAGTTCTTTGCACTGCTTGAAACATAGGCCCAGTGAGGCTCTTTGGGGTGACTGCACTGGGAATCTAGAAACTCAGGGCCAAGTGCACATTCCTACTACCAATAAACAGGGAAAAAGACCTAGATGTCAACCATCCTTTGTGATATGTGACATCTCTACATCTTTTGTAGTCAGAAGTGTAATAGAATGTTCATATGATAATAATAACAACAGTATTAGCCATAAATTATTTGGTGTTTATCATGGGCCACACAGTGAGCTAACTACTTCACCTACTTATTTTATTTCATTTTTTTGCATCCACTCTGTGAGGTGGGTGCAATTTCCCTCCCTATTTTACAAATAGGGAACTTGAGTTTGAGAGAAGTAATTTGCCACAAAACACACAGATATAAGGGCCAGGATTAGGGGCAGGTCTATAGGACTCCAAAGCCAGTGTGCCATACACTACCCCACAGTCATGTTAACACCACAAAGCACAATGTATATACCATTGCCTGGTTTCCTAGAGATCCTATGTTTCCCAGAGTCTGCTGTTATATTTTGCATCTGAGCGCTGTAGCAGTTTACAAAACATTCACCTAAGGCCTCAAAAATTATAGTTCAGGAGAGCTGAACACAGGAGCAGGAGGACACAGCAAGTCTGTGTGTGGCTGTTTGCTCCCATCTTACAACCTGACAGCTTTGGTCTTGGAGTCAAACCAAACTCTGGGAGATACAGGGTGGATTGCTAAAAACAGGTTGAGTGACTGGTAGCACCATTCTCTGACTTAGAGGAGAGGCTCTCAACCTTTAAGAAAATATTTGCTTCAGTCAATTCATTTTGCAGCTGCAGTGCCAAGTTGTCTTTCTGTCTAAACACTAATTATATTTGAAGCTGTGAACATGGGAAGAGTAGCATAGATAAGGTCTTTTGGGCACGTGCATTCCTCACATTCATAAGATGCTACCAGAGGAAAAATATGTTGGCCCATAGAGTATTGTCTGAGAAGAGTCCTTAAGAGTGTGCAGTTACCTCGTTTTCCTGTTTGTTACCAGAGTTTAGAAACATGGGTCTTTGATTCATCACCCAAAGGAGGAAGATAGCAAGCCATCAAAGAGGGAGGGTTGTTACCTTTTGCAGAGGCTCCAGAAGAAATCCGAGGGCCATAATGACAATCAGCACAATGACAGCAGAGAGAATCCCAGCAACCTTTGTAGAGGAAAACATTCCCATGACAAAATCAACTTTTCCCCTGACTTTCATTCCCCAGGGATTGATGCTTGGGTCCTCACAGCAAAGATCCTAAAATACCTGTGTTTTGCCTCCAGTACTCTCCTGAATCGCTGACCTGGAGAGGGCGGTACTTGAGGCAAATCCTTTGAATGATCCGGTGAGTATGTTACCCAAACCCAAGGCTATTAACTCCTGACAAGAGAACAAGAAGGAGTTTTTATTAGAAGCGGCATCATTGATATTGTGTACACAAAATATGATGTAAAGTTGCCAAATTAGACCCAGTGTAGGCTGTAAATTTACCTGATTGCCATCAATTGGATAATCATGTTTGAGGGAATAGACTGTGGAGATCGAAAAAGCCACTGCGAAGCCAACGATTGCAATGCTGAAACTATCTCCGATGGTTTCTTGGACAATCGTCATGTCAGGTGTGATAGGTGGCTGAAATCTGAGATTGAAATAAAGCAAGTCTGAATGTCACCAACCTGCTTATGAACCTTCAGTGGCATCTATCCATCTCAGAAAAAGTCCGAATTCCTTAACAAGGCCCTGGTCTACACCTTCCCCCCATTTCTGCTCAATCTCTACCACTTCCCAGAATTTACACTCCAGTCATACCCAACTTTTTGTTTGTTTGTTTTTATATAAAAAACGTCACCCATTCTCTCACCTTGGAAACTTCTCATTTGCTGCTCCCTCTGCCTGAACCACTCCCCCAATCTCCATTTTTCCTTCTAGAAAGTCTTCCATCACCACCAAGGTAAGGGTTAGGAGAGACTTCCTCTGTTTCCCTAACTCTTAATAACTCTGCACCCTAATACCTTCCCCCAGCCAACTCTCCACCCAGACACCGAGCAGAGACAGACTGCCTCACTACTCTGTGACCAGAACTGAACACTCTTTATGGCATATAACAGGTGGTCAATAATTGTTGGGTAAATCAGTGGATAAATGCAACCTAGAAAGAATGGTGCCTCACTTTGCAGTACGACTAGCAAGAATTTAGCATCACTGAAAACTTTGGAATCTGTTATCATATTGTTGAAAAGAAGTAATGCTGCTTGAATTTGATATGGGATTGTAAATACAATCTAATGATGCTGGTATCTGATATGATTTTGCTAGTATAATCAAATTACAATGTATACTTATATCTGCATGAGCAGTGTGCAGAATATCGTAGGTCACACTTACACTATTACATTGGGGTGGCAAACTATCATCCACAATGCTTCTTCTAGTTACCCATAGATGAAGGCTTTTTGGGGAAACACAATTCTGAGGCAAGGCAAGCAAGCAAGTCTGTTTTGACTGTTGCTAACATAACCTCTCATGAAAACCCCTTAGCAAACACCTGGGCCTTGGACTCTGCCCTGTGCTCCACAGAGTGGCTAGAGACAACTCTGGCCCTGATGTGTCAGAGAAATGTACAACTTACAGAAGATACTTTTGTGCTTATGCCTCATGAACATAGAGCAGTTAAATGATATTTACTAACTGTATTATAAACAGTGCAAATGTCTCCAACTCAACAGCAATTTACTCCAATGCCCAGCTCTTATAAAAATCTAAAACTTATTAGAGGTGAGTTAATTGGCTGCATTCAACTCTTTCTTAATTGCTGTTCATGTTTTATGCATATCTATGTTTAAAATTTTTTCAGCTCTAATTTGAAAAAGTACTATTGTCTTATACTTGTAGCTTCCATGAATCAGAAAGTCAACTTGGAATATTTTGTTTATTAAATAAATCTACAATTGGTGATACAATTAAAATTTGTATTTTATATCAAAATAACCAGAAGTCAGTTATTACCCTTTTGTTCCAGCCTCTAAACACCATAGACAGAGTGGTTTGAAAACTTGGGTTCATTGCTTGACTCAGTTATTTACCTAGCCCAACATAACCAAGTGTGTCAGAAGTAAATCCTAGGCACACTGCCTCACAGGGGTATCCAACTTGTGGCCCGCAGGACGCATGCAGCCCATGATGGCTATGAATGTGGCCCAACACAAAATTGTAAATTTACTCATAACCTTTTTTTTGCTCATCAGCTATTTTGTTAGTGTTTGTGTATTTAATGTGTGGCCCAAGACACCTCTTTTTCTTCCAGTTTGGCCCACGGATGCCAAAAGTTTGGATACCCCTGCTCTAGAACATGTGCATTTGCCTACTAGGCTACATGGCCCCTGTGTAGAATGTAACAGTTAATGAATGTGAATTCCCCCTTCCTCACCCCACACACATTGTGGAAAGAGGTGCATTGACATTTAAAATATATTCATGAAGTAAAGTCTTTAAGATTGTAACTCAGTAATGTGTTATCTTTTATTTTCAAAACTTCTGACAAGGTCTCCTTTAATTTAACAAAGCATAATTATTTGAAAATTGCAGTGCAGAGAGAAGCCCTAGAAACAGTCTTTCAGCTTCAGCCTAATTCTTACTGAAAAATATTTTAAATTGAAAGTGAAGTTTGAGATTCACTGAGTGTAATGCATGAATATCTGGTGATAAAAATATGGTTTTGCTTAAAAATACATACAACTATATTTGCTTTTAAATGAAGTTGGCCAAGATGGAGGCATAGGTAGAAACCCTTTGCTTCCTCACACAACCAAAAGGAGAATAACAATCAATCTAAAATGAATAACAACCAAAATCACCAGAAAAATCTAACTGCATAGAACTCCAACAACCAAGGAATTAAAAAAAATCAACCAGAACAACCAGACTGATAAGGAGGACCTTGAGGGCTGACTCAAAAAAACCTAAGCCAGGTGGCTGGGGGACAGGGCTGATTATGTGAAGCTTGCCAGAGCTGCATGGGAGGGACTGACTTAAAGGGAAAACTGAGATTCAGAGCTGACTGTGGGCTAAGGCTGGGGTTGCCCCTGTGAGAAATACTTCCAGTCTGATATGAGAGTCTGCTGGAAAGTGTGCTATAGACAAGCAGGCGAGCTGCACTGTTCCCTCTCTGGCCCCTCCCCCACAGGCAGTGCAGCAAAGAGGGCTGCCCTGCTTGGGTGAACAACTAAGGCCCTGCCGTTTTACAACCTATCAGCTGCACCAAAACAAAGAAATATGGCCCAAGTGAAAGAACACAGCAAAAACTCAGAAAGAGAACTAAGTGGTGAGGATATTGCCAACCTATCTGATGAAGAATTTAAAGCTCTGGTAATCGCTCACAGAACTGATTGAGCATGGTAGAAAAATGAAAGATACCCAAAATGAAATAAAGCAAAATATTCAGGGAACCAACAGTTACAAGAAGGAAACCAGGATTCAAAGCAATGATTTGGAACAAAAGGAAGAAATAAACATCCAACTGGATCAGAACAAAGAAATAAGAATCCCCCAAAATGAAGAGAGACTTGAGGATTCTCTGGGACAACCTGAAATGTTCCAATATCCAAATTTTAGGGGTACCAGAAGGAGAAGAGCAGCATCAAGAAATTGAAAAGTTATTTGAACAGCTAATGAAGAAAAACTTCCCCAATCTGGTGAAGGAAATAGACTTCCAGGAAGTCCAGGAAGCCCAGAGAGTCCCAAAGAAGTTGGACCCAAAGAAGTTGGACCCAAAGAGGAACATATCAAGGCATATCATCAAGGTAACCAAGATTAAAGACAAAGAGAAAATTCTAAAAGCAGCAAGAGATAAGGAGACAATTACTTACAAAGGAGTAACTGTCAGCTAATTTCTGAAAAGAAACCTTACAGGCAAGAAGGAGCTGGAAAGAAGTATTTGAAATCACAAAAGGCAAGGAAATACATCCATTTAGAATGGAAGGGCAGATACAGTGCTTCTCAGATAAGGTCAAGTTGAAGGGGTTCATCATCACTACACTCTTATATGAAATGTTAAAGGGACTTATCTAAGAAAAAGAAGATTAAAAAATGAACCACAAAATGACAACAAACTCACAACTATCAACAAATGAACCTAAAAGAAAAGAAAAACAATGAAAATAAAAACTAAGCAAAGAACCAGAAGAGGAACAGAATCAGAGTAATGGACATTACACAGAGGGAGTTCAGTGGGGAGGGGGAAGGGAGAAATAGAGGGGAAAGGTACAGAAAAGAAGAAGCATAATTGGTAGGCATAAAATAGATGGAGAGGGAAAAATGGTATAGGAAGCAGAGGACTCAAAGAACTTCTATGTAAAACCCATGAACATGAACTAAGTGGGGGAATGCTGGAGATTTGGGGGGGCAGGGTGGAGAGGAGATAAAAGGGAAGAAATTGGGAAAAATGGAAGCATAGTCAATAAAAATACTTTTAAAAAAAAGAAGTTGGCTATGTTTAAGTCAATGCATACAAATGCTGATTCACAGAATTATAATACACCTTAAGCATGGGGAGGGAGGTAAGTCTTTTTATTTTATTTTTTATTTTTTTAATGGGAACACAACTTTTCCTCATAAGTGAGTTGGGAGAGATTGATGTTATATGGTCAGAGGGCAGAGAGAGGAAAGAGAACACATATCTGGAATTCCCTTCTCAATCCGATAAACGCAATGGGATACATTTTCAAATTCCTCATATGAATTAGACCCTCCATCCCTTTGCAGTGGTAAGAGTTGCTCTGGCTTTGTTTTGAATTTGATCATGAGAAAGGACAGAGCGTGCCTAACCAGGTTGCTGAAGCTGAGTGCCAGGTATTCCTTCCAGTGTCTCTTTTGAACTGTTGGATCTTGGCTCCAGTAACCTCAAACAAAGCACTATGATTGTTTATAGTAATTTCTGGACAAGGAAATCTGGTTTCGTTTTTTTTAATGAGGAAAAGCAGGTTTAATTGCCTATTTTTCTACTTTCACTACTTCACTTTTACTTGTGTTTGAGTCCCTGTTCATCTGGTTTATAAGTTCTTCCACAAGAAGACACTTTGTTATATTAAGAACTGCAGACCCTTATGCCCTTTGTGGCTCATTCCTGAAAGGACAGTAGCAAGCCTTCTTCATAAATGCAGATGCAGGGAGGAGTCTGACCTGGATTATTGTGTTTCAGCTGGTTGTCTTCAGTAACTACTGTGTACTCTCTAATTAGTGCTTGGAGATACCATCTCAAAGGAAACACTTACCCACTTTCCATCTCCCCAACCACAGTCACATTAAACCTGTTTCTGAAGTCAAAACCATAGGACACACCTGTTGCGATCACAGTCTGCAAAGTTGAAAATTTCCAAAGTTAGAAATGTAAGATATACCTGAGTCTTGCTTTACAAAAAATACCATTACCTTGACCTAAGAATTCAAGCCCAGGCTTTGCTACTTTTTAAAAAACTCTGAGGCATTTTTATGTCCCACCAGAGTTGAGAACCATGGCTCTAATTCAAATGGGTCTATCAGCTTCTCCAAGACCTTGCCCTCTGTACCAGTCTTGTCTTAAATGGACAGAAGCCCAAAATCCTATAAAAGGAAATTCTTAAATTCAGAATAAAGATACAACTGTACTAAATGTTATACCCAGAACCTGCAGAGATGGCATCTGCCCCACTAAAACCTTGCAGGTGGTGAAGGGCATTCAACATAAAAATATGTGACTAATGGATTATAAAAGAAAGTTTTAAAATGATCAATTACCAGGATGAATTCAATGGGGATGGGCACTGGAAGCTTGTCTTTGTAGCACTGGTTTATTTCTTTGACCACAAATAAAATGAAGAGGATAATCAAGGCTGTCACAAGGTCTGCAATATTAGTCTTCTCTATTTGTGTGAATATGGAATTTAGTACCTAAAGTTTTAAAAGCAAAAAACACCCATATATTATAGTAATGCATAATTTGATTACATCACTCAATTATTTTAAATAGATGAAAATAAGCATTGAAGCAAAAGAACTGACATAGATTGATAGCTATTCTCTGCTCTGCTAGGAAGGGTAGCATAGATAGAGTCAGCACCACATTGATTTAGGAATGATTCTGAAATTTTTGCTGGGAATCTCTTTGGGTAGTGTCAAATTTTCTTGGACATTTTTCACATTTTTAGAACTGGTCTCGTCTACTCTTAAATCTGTTTGGCCATCAATTTTTATTTCATAATCATCACTATTGCTCTGTCCAAGGAATAACCTCTGATCACTGATAGGTTTTCTTCACATTTATCCCTTAATTCATTGTCTTTTTTTTAATTAAACCCTCTCACATGTTTTAGTTTACTCTCTGTGTCAGTTTTGGAAATGAGTTTTCTGGATAACTGCACTGTGCATAATCTTAATTCTTGAAGCCAGCTGGATTCTATATCCATAGGATTTGGAAGGCTCAAGTAGACCTAAACTAGACCTTAAGTTGCTCCTAGACCAATCCACTTTTGGAATAGCTTTGGATGGGGTGAAAGAGTGTTGGTTCTAATCTGAAGCAGGTGCTATCTCAGACTCCCAATGTCTATCTTGATAGAAGCACATATATGTCCAAAGTTAGCAAAAGGAAGGTAATAACAAAGATCAGAGAGGAATCAAAGAAGTGTGGACTAAAAGGACAATAAGAAAAATTAATAAACTAAGAGGTGTCTTTTGAAAAGATAAAGAATAGACAAATATTTAGCTAAATTCACAAAGAAAAAAAGAGAGGGTACTCAAATAAAATCAGAAGAGGTAAGAAAACTGTTCTACAGTACGTCTTCTGTAGGAGGGAAGACCCACTGTTCTATTTACATATTGGCCAATTTCCTTTTGCTTTATGAACAGGATGTATAAAAGAGTTAGAAGAACTTCAATTCTAAAAGAATAAGAACTGCTTTTTAGAAGTAGGGAAGCATTCTCACTCAATTAGCACTTTTTTCAAAATAATATTTTGAGAAAATTAAAAACTTGGAACAAAATATTAAAGCTTTTTAATAATGTATATAGATTTTTCTTTTTAATAATACTTAGGTATCAAATATAAGAGAAGTAGTACTTTATTTCTGTTGTTCACATTAGATGTACAGTAGATGTGGCTGATTTTCAGTATTCTCTTTGTCACTAAATTTCTCTTAATGTGAATAAATTTCACAGCCTATGTGTTTCTTGAAAATTGTAGGTAAGCCCCATGGCAAAGTCATTAAAGGGAAGTTCTCACGGAAACATGAAAGTGAATTTCATGTATTTAAATATTTTTTAAGCAAAAGGAATACTTACTTTAAAAATTGAAAATGGATCAGTGTATGAAAGGACATTTAGCTGAAAAATAAATTTGAGTTGGGAAACCAAAACATGAACAGCGGCAGCTGTGGTGAAACCACTGATTAGGGATTCAGATAGATATACCACCATGAATCCGATCTGCAGAACCCCCATCAGCAACTGAAAAGAGAAAGGCAATTGTTAGTATAGATTACGAGTATACTTTAGCAAAGTGAAAGATCAGCAGATGAAGTAATCAAAATGTAAAGGTTCGGCCAATACATATAAGTCTTAAAATAGCATCAGTCCCTGTCTCCTGAAACACCTCTCCTCTCCCACTGCTCTCCATCCCCCAATGTGGAATGTTACATGCTGTTCAAATAGCATGCAAGTCCAGCACCCGCTCCCCAAAGTAACAGGCTTATCTACCCTCCTCTTTTAAAGGTATCTTTAGAAGACTTAACTAAAGCTTTCATAGCAGAATCTTATCTATTTTCCTCAACAATTTCCCTAAGTCATTTTAAGTTACACTTTCTAGCTGTTGTAGCATGCATAGGTCAGCATCCATTCATATTACCTTTTGTAAGAAATAAATAACTGCGTGTTGGACATCTGAAGTCCTCAGTTTCAACTGGGGGAAAAATGGTTAATTGCCCCAAAGCATCAATATTTTGCGATCAGGTGAATGGATAGATTTTTCTTCCCCTGGACACTTGGCCTGCCTTTCCATTCATGTCCCTGAATGCAGCCAGAGCTGTGGACACACAAAGGCACTGGGTCCAGAAATGTCTTAGAAAGAACTGATGACACCAATTGTCAATAGAACACACCACTTACACTTTTGTACAAACTGACTCTTTCTTTAAGGAAAGGTCTTAACCAGTAATATCAATATTCATAAACTTAGACAACATCTTGTGCAGTCCATGACATTTTCACCATCAGCAGTGGTATGGCATGGGGAGGAGGCACTAAGTCCCTCTGTAAACCTCTTCAGCTTTCCCAAAATCTTTGATATGGACAGTTGAAAGTCTGAAACTCCAATCCCTTCCAACTAGATTACGGTCTTTCAGGAATTAGAAAGAAACAGTTCCAAAGCTTCCAGTTTTACTCTTACTTGCATATAGTTACATCTAGTGACTATACTGAATTCAGCATTTCACGCCTCACCACGTGTCTTTCTGTTCCCACTTTTCCTACTCTCTAGACCCATACTCAGTCATCTTTGCAATGTGGATCTGCTCCTTTATTTCTGGCTTTGGTGAGTGACTCTTAAATTATTTCCCGTGGGCCATGAAAGGAGGGCTACAAATCAAATGGAAGAGTGGGGAGGGGTGGCAAGAAGGAGGAAAATCAGAGAAATGTTCACCAGTCAGGAAAAGCAGATTGGGGAGGGTAGATTATATGAGAAAGTGCTCACCTGAATGATTCCAGAAAAAACTGTGACCGTTGCAGCCACCATCACCTTATAGTCATCTAGTGATGTCTCATTACTCATTGAGTCATTAAAGGAATCGGGGGTTAATCTTGCAACTGTTACTCCCATCATGGTACTCAGAACTGGAAAAGGACCTAATTCACAGAGGGTGAATTGTGGTCAATAAACATCTTCCTAATGCACAGCTGTCTTTCAGTTTTAATTCTTATAAGGAACTATGATTTGTCTCCTGGATTGTGTACAATTTGAAATTGGTACAATATGTGGCTAATGGAATTCACAAAGAAAAGGCAGTATGAGCAAGGATTAGTCCAGGAACTCACCCGCAGATATGTGTCTAGAAGTCCCCAAGAAAAAGTAGACTATGACTGGGAAAAAGGCTGCATATAACCCATAACGTGGAGGGATGTTGACCAGCAGACCATATGCTAAACCTGTAAATACACAAATATCAAGGTCTTTATTTTTTGCAAGGGGAATCATAGAAATTTTCATTAGATTCTTTAAATATTTATAACTGGACACCAAATATGTTACTTTATTAACTCAAAAGCAGCAAAGATGTAAATGTAAGAGCTAAAACTATAAAACTCCTAGAAGAAAACAAGTGTAAGTCTTTGTGATCTTGAATTAGGCAATGCTTTCTTAGAAATGATAACTACAGTGAGCAATCAAATTAAAAACAAATAAAATGGACTTCATCAATAATTTTAAATGTGCATTTCAAATGATACTATAAAGAAGTGAAATGTCAACCCATAGAGTGGTAAAAATTATTTGCAAATTATATTTTTAATAAGGGTCTAGTTTCCAGAATATATAAATAACACAACTCAACAATAAAAAGACAAATAATCTAATTTTAAAATATGCAGAAGGACTTCCAGTCAAGATGGCAACATAGGTAAACATGGCTTGCCTCCTTCAAAAACCACATCAAAATTACAACTAAGCTATAGCATGACCATCACTCAGAACCATCAAAAATCATGTTGAGTGGAAGTCTGGCAAATACATAATCAAAGAAACCACATCCATCTAGACTGGCAGGAGGGGCAGAGGTATGGAATGGATTAGTCCCATAACCATGGGTGGTGGATAAAAATTCTGGAAGGATAGATATCTCATGAGTGAGGGGTCCAGCCCCAAAACAAACCCCCTCGTCCAGGGTTCTAGTGCCAAGAAGATATGTCCTCACAACTTCTGGCTGAAAAACCCACAGGGATTGAGTTGGTGGAAGAAACTTCTGGGGTCTAAGCAATTCCTCTTAAAGAACCCACACACAGACTTACTAAGACTCACTCTCTCTGAGCTCTAACACCAGGGAAGCAACTTGAAAGGCACTGTTAGCATACAGGGAGGAACTAAAGAGTCTGGTATCAAGGCAAGAGCTGTGGGACAGCTTTCTTCCAGACAGAAAGGCGGGCAGAGGCCATTATCCCTTTTCTGAAACCTCCCCACACAGAGCCACAAAGCTGGCAAGCAGGCACCATATCTGAGACTCCATCAACCTGGCTAACACTGTTTGCCCTGCCCTGGAGACCCCCTGAGATTTCCTCCCACCCAACTATGGGTCCTCACAAACTGTTAACTGAGTTTTCCATATGAATAGCTGATCTTGGCTCATGCTTCACAACTTGTTAATTCTCTCAAACAAGGAACAGCCAGCCTGAGTAGGCCCCCATCCCCCATACCTCTTGCTTAGTAGCCCCAGTCATGGCACTAGCACCAGCCAGCCTAGATTCATAGCTGGGCTTCACTTGGGAATCTCCAAGCCCAGCACAAGTAGCAGCCATCTCAGATTGATTTATAGCTCATGCAGGGTACCCTCGGGCAGAACATGAGTGGGTATTGAACTTGGCCTGTACCACCCAGGAAAACCCAGAGCCTGCATTCCCAGTGGACAGCTACAGACCACACTGGAGCACCACCAGCCTGCCCCTGCACAGTTTATCCTCCACAGAGAGCACAGGTGGGCAATCTGTAGTTATGGCCAGTCTTTGTTGCTGACTAGCCTGGGTAAATCCCTCCCATTGACCTGCCACACCTATCAAAGCTCAACAAGAGGAGGGAGTATTCAGCCTACATGAAGATAGCGCCTTGATCAAGTACCAGGTTGGGTGATAGGGGAGGCTGTACCTCTAGACCCCATAGGACACCTACATCATTAGGCCACACTACTAAGACAGGGCAGCTCTGCCTAATACACAGAAACAAACACAGGGAGGCTGTCAGAACAAGGAGACAAAGAAACATGGCCCAAGTGGAAGGACAGATAGAGAAAGAGAACTCCAGAAAGAGAACTAAATGAAATGGAGATAAGCAATCTATCAGATGCAGAGTTCAAAACACAGGTTATAAGGATGCTCAAGGAACTTAGTGAGGACCTCAACAGCATCAGAGAGATCCATTCAGAAATGAAGGATAAACTAATTGAAATGAAGAACAATTTACAGGGAAACAACAGTAGAGAGGAAAGCTGAGAATCGAATCAACTATTTGGAACAAAAGGAATAAAAAAACAATCGATTATAACAAGAAGAGAAAAAGAATTAGAAACAATGAGGGTAGTATAAAAAGGCTCTGGGACAACTTCAAGCAGTCCAACATTCCCATCATAGGGGGTGCCTGAAGGAGAAGAGAAAGAGCAAGAAATTGGAAATCTATTTTAAAAAATAATAAAAAAACTTCCCTAATGGTGAAGGAAATACACATGCAAACCTAGGAAGCACAGAGAGTCCCAAACAAGAGGGATGCAAAGAGGCCCACTCCATGGCACATCATAATCAAAATGCCAAAGGTTAAAGAGAAAGAGAGAATCTTAGAAGCAGCAAGAAAAAAATCAGTTAGTTACCTCCGGGGAGTTCTCATAAGACTGTTAATTGATTTCTCAAAAAAAATCAACTTGAATATTTCTTGATTTCTCAAAAGAAATCTACATAAATATTTTTTGCCCATCCCTTGCAGGCTAGAAGGGATGGGCAAGAAATATTCAAAGTCATGGAAAGCAGGGACCTACAGCCAAAATGGCTCTCTCCAGCAAAAATATCATTTAGAATTGAAAAGCCAATAAAGAGTTTTTCAGACAAGGAAAAACTAAAGTAGTTCATTATCATCAAGCCATTATTATATGCAATGTTATAGGGACTTATTTAATAAAAAGAAAAAGATCAGAACTGAACAATATAATGGCAGTAAATACATATCTATCAATAATTGAATCTAAAAAACACACACAAAAAACAAACCTAGCAAACAAGAACACAGATTCATGGATACAGAATGCTTTTTGATAGTTGTCACATGGGAGGGGTATTTGGGGAATTGGTTGAAGAGGTGAGGGGATTAAGAAATACAAATGCATAGTTACAGAATAGTCAGGGGGATGTAAGTACAGTATAGGAAATGGTGTAACCGAAGCCTTTATACACATGACCCATGGACATGAACCATGGTGGGGGGATTGCCTGAGGGAGTGGAATATGCTGTGTCAAGCTGGGCAAAGGTGGAAAAATTGGGATAACTGTAACAGCATAATAAATAAAATAAAATAAAAAATATATAAATTAAAAAAATGTGTAAAAGATTTAAATAAACTCTCATAGAAGATATATACATCTCTCATAAGCATCTGAAAAGGTGTTCAATATCATTAGTGAGTAAATGCTAATCAAAACCAGAATGTGACACCATTTTTTACTCATTACAACAGTTAAAATTAAAATGGCAGACGATAACCAGTGTTCACCATGATGTGAAGAAATCTGAACCCTCATATGTCACTAATGGGTTACCATATGACACAGGAATTACACTCTAAAGAGAATTGAGACATATGTTCCCACAAAACTTGTACATGATGTTCATTCCTAATAGCCACAAAGTAGAAATCAAAGCAACCCAAATGTCCATCAAGTCATGAATGCATAAACAAAATGCAGTCTATCCATACAATAGAATATTATTTATCCATAAAAAGGAATGAAGCATCCATACAAGCTGAAGCATGGATGAACTTTAAGAACATTCTTCTAAGTGAAAGAAACCAGACACAAAAGACCACATATTCTGTGACTCTATTTATGTGAAGTGCTCAGAATGGGCAAGTCCATAGAGACAGAAAGTTGTTGCAAGGGGTGTGGATGGAGGGGGAAATGGGAAGTAACTGCTAATGAGCAAGAGATTTTGGGGGTAGTGGTGGTGGTAAAAATATTCTGGAATTAAATGTGACCTTGTGAATATACCAAAACAAACAAACAAACTCCACTGAACTGTACACATTAACAGAATGAATTTTATGACAGATGAATTATATCTCAAAGATGTTTTTACCTTGCAGAACACACACCACCCCTGTGCTGATTCCAGAAACAATGTCACTGAGTAGCCACTCCTTTACCCGGTATGCTGGTAACCAAGATGTTATGGGGAGCAAAGAGAGGGCAATTTTCCGGGCCTTTTCTGTAGAACAGCTGAAAACATTGAAAGCCACAGGTCAGTTAATATCAAACTTTAAGTTTAGCACCTCATCGTGGGTAGAAAATTGGTAAAGATAATAATATTTTAAAGAACAGACTAGTACTTTTACTAACTTTCCCACAAACAGTCACTTCCTTACCTGTATCAATTGCCCCTGGCCACAACCAAACAATTTTTAAAAAGAAAAATGCTGCTTTTCTTCAGCCATAATAGACCTTATTTGTCATCCTCAACTAGAATTGTTCAACATTTCAACTGAGAATGTGCCTCTGTCCTCATCTATTAGTCCTGTGATATGGAAAGACTCTGTTGAGAGCTGAGATGGTGTGCATTTCAGAGTCGACCTTTCCAGCTCTGGCAGGAAAGTTTGGAAACCAAAGATAAGAAGACTCTGAAAGCTGTGGGCTAGAGCCAGAAAGGAGAGCTTGAAAGTCTGAAAATTTAGGAGAAAGTGTTGCATTTATTTCTAATGTCAGTACCTTAAAAAAATGATCTTACCTACAACACACTTTGAGATGATCCAGAAATGTCTTATGATATCTGTGTTTCTTCTTATGTTCTTCCCCAAAAGCATTTGCAGAATACACTGGCCTGGCCACAATGTACTGATTCCCAATGGGCTCGATCATTTTGCTTCTTTTGAAGGCTGTGGTAAGTGGAAGACCTTTGGAACGATGTGGCAAACCTTCTTCTTGCCTTTAGCAGGTAAAAATGCCAGAAACCAAATGGAGCTTGCTTCTTAAATAACTCAGAGATAATGTGATGCAATTTACAGATGAGTGAGCTCTGGACTGAATGTTACCACCTTTTGAGATCAAAAGAGGCAGGATTAAGGGACCTGGTTGTGTTCTGAGACGCTGATATTCCAATGAGCTGGACACTGCTCCTTTGGGTAAGCGAACAAAAGCTTTTATTTATTATTAAAAGACCACCAAAAAAAACAACAATAGAAATTGACTTCATTTACTAATCAGTGAGTGCATTTTTACTTGTAAAGTAAGATCTTCTCAAGAAAATGAATTTTAGTTTTTTTCTTAGAAACAGTTCCAAAATTATGGCATTTGAGGGGTTGGACAGATGAGATTTAAAGTCTACTCATTCCCCCTAACTCCAGTCAAGACTGTTCTGTTTTATCCATCAGAATTTTTTGTAATACCTTGGCAAATGCTTTTAATGTGTGCAATTCAAGAATATTATTTATTTAAGTTATTTTTCTATTGTTTCTGGCAGTTGAATAGAGTTTAACAATTTATAATTGAGGAAACTGGCATAAAGCATTACTTGGTTACTTAGTTCACTAGTGATGAGATCTTTTAAAGGAAAGATCTTGGGCAATTTACTTAACCTCTCTGAGATTCAGTAATTAGGATAATAACACTCAAGTTTTAGGGCGATTTTGAAGATTAAATGAGAATGTTTTCAAAGCATCTACCTTGTGCCTAGCACACAATATGCAAATGTAGTTATTATTCTATTAGCATTTATGCATGAGGTGTTTACATTTTTTGTTCTTATCTCAATCTGTTATGTTTAAAAGATCAATTTTGCAAAACCTTTTCATGGTCATTACTTATTTAGCCCATACAATTTTTTTGAGGCACTTACAATTATTATTGTTCTGTTCTTATGAAGGAGAAAATAATAGCACACTCCTCCTCACAAAAATCTAAGTACTTTTTCTCAGGTTATACATCTAGTAGAGTGACAAAATGTGAGTTCTGTTTTCATACTTTTTGGCTATTTCTTCCTCAACATATAGATTCTCTATTGTCCAATGTGAACATAATTAAAGAACATTTTAAAGAATAACTATTAGCGTTTTTCTCTCTTATCTTCCCTGACCACAATCACAATTATTAATGGAATTATCTTGAACTAGATTGTACCTTGTTACATGGTGCTGTCTCATAGCTTAGGAATTTTCAGCATGTTTGCAAAGCTCAAGTTATAACCAGGAATCAGATGCTAGCCTCACCTTCTGTCCCCACCTGACCTTTCTTTGACCATCCATTTTTCTTTCCAATCCCATTCCCTGGCCTTCTTCTAAAGTTCTCTCCTGACCTTCTCTCACCTTGATATAAAGCTTCTTGCCACCCTCTGGCTTTACCTCCACAATTTAAGTCCCTTTGAGCTTTGCTATGACTGGTAGCTTAGACTCCCTTATCTATTCTTTCTGATCCTCCTCACACCTCAAGCTGCTTGTTCTCCCTGCTTCTCATCTCTCTCTCCTCTTCCATCCCTTAACCCCCAATTCCAGGTGTCATAGCTTACTAGCTATATAGTTCTTCCTACTTTCAGGAAAACTTGTACATGAGGTAGAATTGACTTACTTATTATTGCTGTGCATAGCACAGATTTTTCATCCTGACTTGCCAATTACTAACAGTGTGGTTGGAACATTAACACTTAAGATCGAATCCATGTTAATGACTCTTGACACCTTAGTGCTCTGGCAAAGGCTATTTGGAATATCCTTCAAGAACAAATTTAGTCCTGTGAGGTATGCAACCTAGCCAACATTAAGATGAAGAAAACTCAGGTACTGTGTATTCATTTGTGTTAGATGCTTTCATGAACAGAAAAAAAAAAGATTCCAGTATTTTGTTGCTTTAGTCATACTTTCACCAAGTTGTTCAGGAAAACTCACTAATTCTCTTTTTAAAAAAAGATCCAGTAGGGGAAAATCCATCAAGGAACATGTATAAAGGACATACGGACAAAGCCAAAGGAGGTAGGTTCAAGGGTGGGGATAGGTGGGGTGAAAATGGAGACAACTGTGCTTGAACAACAATAAAAAAATTAAAAATTTTTTAAATGAAAAAATAAATCCTGAAAGTATTCCTTTTCTTCCTTTTGCTCTTTATATTTTCTCCCTGCTAAGTCATGGTCTAATTTTTTTTTTTTGTTTGCCAGTGACCAAGATGGCAGAAACAACTTCATTTATATTAAGCTTTCTTCCCTGAGGATGCCCTTGGCTGGCTGTTTAGTGGGCTCCATCATACCTCCAGCTGCATGAAAGGACTGAACTCTGGCCATCCTGCCACAGACTGGAAAATGCCTCCTCCTCCTCACACCAAGAGCTGAATAAAAAGGTGAGTGCTCAGCACAGAAATCAGGACAGCTTACAAAATCTTTTCAGAATGAGAGAGAGAGATCTGTGTTTCTCCTCATGTCCTTCCCCCAAAGCATTTGCAGAATACACTGGCCTGGCCACAATGTACTGATTCCCAATGGGCTTAGAGAGAGACCTAATGGACACATTCTACCTGGTGGTTTTTCCCTTACTGCCCTTCTGCTCCCCAAAGCTGTTGTCTTACATTCCTCATGTGATTGACAACCTGACCCACTGGATCAACCACCCTTTGGTGACTCTGCTGAGAGATGTTCCAGGTAGTCATGAATCGATGTCATTCTCCATTTTATCATTTCAGGGGTTATTGAGAATGAGCTATATTACTTAGAAATTAAAAAGTGAATTTCTTTTTTAAAAAAACCCTGAATGAGTTACTTTTCCCCCAGAAATTCTTGAAAAACTTTCCCTTGGTTCCCAGAATTACAATTTTGTTTCAAATATTAACACCCATGTTAATGTATACCTTTACTGGTTCTGTTTTATCTTGGTGCCTTGAATTTCTTTCTGGGTTCCTTAGGGTGTCAGTGGCTTTTGAAGGATTGAAATTCATTCTCAGGGACATTTCCTCCTAAAAATTTTAGAATTCTGAGCTTTGTTGGTGTATATTTCCACTGTTATTTCTTTTTCTATTATGTGTTCTTTTTAAATATTTGGTTTATTATCTCTCTCTCTCGCTCTCGTTCATTCTTGGTCCTAGGGCTTAGTCATACACGTTTATCTTTCTCTGCTTTTCTTTTTAGTTTTTCCCCAGAAGAAATTTAATTTTGGGATTATTTCTGAACTTCAGTTCTTTTCCAATTTAACTATTCTAGTTTATTAATAAGTTGATATTTCTAGGGATTAAGATGGGTTTGTGCATAGTCTTCCTCCCCTGCTGGTTCTGCCCACCTCCAGCCTGCAGGCCGTCCAGCAGGCCAGTACTGCCTGGCTGCCAGCCCCACTCCACCGAGAAGTTTCTTACACCCTGACCTTTCCACTCCTCAACACTTACCTATTCAGTGTTCTAGTCTTTCAGGGGTCTGACCTTGCAAACATGCTCAGAAGCAATGCTAGTATTTTTCTTTCATTAGTGATAATTTGAAACCAGGAGGCAAGCAGGTGTGGAAAGTATTTCCCAGCCTGTTCCCGGCCATGGTAGATATTTCCACCACACTCATAAGGTGGGCTTTTGGTTACCCTAGCCCTCAGTAAGGTCTCAAAATACTCCTGTGCCAGTCCATGGAAAAGCAGAAGTAAGCCAGCCCTATTTCATGAGTTGGTCCTTGGACAATGGGAGATGTCTTGATAGCTATAGTTGGGGGATGAGTAAGAGAATAAGCAGAATAATTGCCCCAGTAAGCACCTTGAGAGGGGCCCCAATCAGCAGCCAAAGGGGAACCAGAATTCAATGGTACATATCTCTCATATTCTGGTTGCTGTCCAGCTGGGTGGAAGCAAGCAGATGGTGGTATCAGAACTTGAGAGGGCCAGAGAGTGATTAGGAGTAACTGGGCTGGTGGTGGGGTATGCTGGGAGTGGGTGAAAAGGATATCAATACAGATGTTGGTAAAGAGGGGTCAGAAGGGGTCAGGGCTGGGGCAGGCCACAATTTCTAGTTAAATCCTATGATTCCTGTGAGCCTTTGTGACTTTTGAAACACAACAGGGTAAGGAATTAAACTATATTATATATGTAAACCTAAACTGGGTAGCTATTTTCTTGGGAGATATAAGTTATCATCTATAACATAAAACACATGACTGTTTTTCACTATCATTTAGTGATGATTCTTTGAAAACTACCATCATCTCACAAACACTTCCAGCTTGTTTCTGAAGTCATAGCCTCTCCGGAGAGAGGGGAGAGGCCGACACAGAAGGTGATTAAAGGTGATGGGTCTGAGGTGAGGATCCTGAAGATATGAAAGCAGTTCCTCCAAAGAATCCCAGAGCAAGATGACTTAAGGAAAGAGTTTGGATATTTTTTAAACTAAAATAATAGGGATAATTAACACACCTCTAGTTCAGTGTCTTGTTTACTTCTAAAGTCTGTTTATGTGTCAATTTGTAGTGGTTTGATAACATCTTCTAGAAACTTAGTTTTAACTTTACCTTAGTTCAGGTACTAAACTTATTATTATTATTGATAATTGGCTCTATTGGCAATTATTATTACTGGCCATGCTGCTGAAAAACTGTCATACCTAATTTAGTTAGGAGGTACAGCTGAGGAGAGGTAGAATATGGCAGGAAAGTAGGCAGGGCTTGCTTTGCCATTGCCTGTGTTGTTACAGGCAAACACTTCAAACTTTAGTGTTTCTTTCTTTTTTTATTATTGTTCAATTACAGTTGCCCCTATGTCACCCCTCCCATTACTTAGTATTTCTAATGGTAAGAGGAAATGCCATTACCTTCCTTTTAGGGCTGTTTTTAAGACTGAAAATAAGGTATGGACATAGGAGAGACTTCTTAGCTTTAATTTCATAGGTAAAGGCCTCAGGTCTGAGTTTAATATCGACTTAGTATAAACCTAATTTACAACTGCACCTATATGACAAAAATCATTTG